CTACACCGACGACACGTCTCTGACCATTATCGAATCGAGAGAAGGAGAGAAGGAGAGAGAATTGACATCAGCAGCAGCAGCAGTGTCATACGTGAATCCATTTGCCCGCACACACACACACACCGAAACGAACAACACCACCACTGTGAACTCTGTGCTTTGATGATCATCATTTCTCCACTTTTTCTGCGAATAAATATAACACAAGGGCTGCTGAATCATAGCGAACTGGTCATCTGCTCGGCCGTTATTGATGGCATCAGATGACAGTGCCAAGTCTGTGCACAGTGTGCCAAAACCAAGACCACCCCAATTATGTGTGTCCATGGCCTGCCTAACGGGGGCAAATGTAGTACTGGAGCTGCTGGTGCTGCTGCTGNATAACACAAGGGCTGCTGAATCATAGCGAACTGGTCATCTGCTCGGCCGTTATTGATGGCATCAGATGACAGTGCCAAGTCTGTGCACAGTGTGCCAAAACCAAGACCACCCCAATTATGTGTGTCCATGGCCTGCCTAACGGGGGCAAATGTAGTACTGGAGCTGCTGGTGCTGCTGCTGCTGGTAATCTCTATCGTCTAATGGTCATCGGTGATAAATGAGAGGGTGAAAAGAAGAGAAAGCCAAGGAGTTGATGTCAGTATTGTTCTTTCTGGCTCCTAATGTCACCACCACCACCTAAGCAAATGGAGGAGCCCTCCAGTGGAGGCGATGTGCTATTATTCAGCTGCCGCTCATAACCCGTTTTCTTTTTCCTTCACCACCAACAAAATGGCCAATTTAGCCCTCTCTGTGACTGTGTCACTTTTATTAGTCGTTGAGGGAAAGATTGAAATGGCAAGAGAAAGTGAGAGAGAGAGAGGAAGTGAGATTGCCAAGTGCAGATTGAAGGTGACCAGCAGAATTTTAATATCCAGCGCTCGCACATCCACTGTGAGTAAAAAAAGTTGATGCATTTGGCATTTTGCATTTCTCTTCCCAGTTTCCCTTCCCTTTTTTTCCCCTTTGCCAATCTCGGCAATCGTCGTCGTCGTCGCAGTCTGGTCAGTCCAGTTCAGCCTGAGCAGCAGCAGCTCACCTAATCCAACCTAATTTATTTATGACATTTTAGAGCTCATTTGGTGGTGCTCACACTGGTGAGGAGGACTAATGACAGGCTGGGCCATTGCGTGGTGGTGGTGGCCACTGCTGCTGCTGCAGCCTCCAGTACTCTTTTGCCAATAAATGGCCAGGCAGGCAGGCAGGCAGAGCCAATTGCCATAAATTTTTATTAATACAAGCTCAAATTCTAAATTTATTATTATTACCCACCGCTGCCGTTGCCGATCATGTGGCGGAGATTATTATTGATGTGAGACGTAGGAGAAGGAAAGAGGAGAGAATTGGCGCGACACGTCGAATTGGAGAAAAGAGAAAGAGAGCGAGAGAAGGAAAGGCTCGATTTGCCTTTAGTGGGAAGATAAATCTGCGGCCAGCAGTCGAATTGCCCATAAATAATACTTTTCCTAACTGTCCAGCAGCTACTTTTTTGCTGGACAGTTGCAGGCAAAAGCAAAGGCAGAGGCAAGAAGGTGCAGTTTAGAATCACAATTTTTTGCTGCTTCTCTCGTTTGGGTCTAAGGAGACGGAGGAAGGAGAGAGAAAAGATCAGTGGCCCAGCGTCCATATTCAGAAGTAAATTACAATTCAAACAAATGGCCTCAGCAGCACCGTGTCACACCACACAGTGTGCTGGCTGGGTAATTTCAATTTTATAACTGCACCGACAGCAGCAGTGCTTTCAATTTATATCAATTCAGGACGGCAGAATGAGACAATTGCAATGAGACTTTGTCATCGAGGTTTGGTCATTGCAGAAACGACAAAATTTCCGTTGAACTACCACCACCACCACTGACCACCAAAGATAGATCTCATCTATGCGTGACGTATTACCGAAAGTCGCCCAGTGGTCTTTGGCCTCAGCAGAATTCAGCAGAATTGAGAAAGTGAGTTCAGAACATTCGAACACTGCTGACTGCTCGTCCATTCATTCTGATTAGACTGCTGATGCTGATGGTGAAAGCTCAATGTTCAATTGCTGGCAATTGTGCCCGGTGGCATCATCTCTCTCGATCTGCTCCCGCCGATTCTCTCGCCATATGTCATCATTAGCCGAGGAAAAGAAAGACATGCAAACGACCGAGTGCTGTGCTCTTTCCTTTGTTTCACCACTGGCAATTGGCACTTCTTTTCCATCGATTTCATCTGCTGCTGAAACGATTGTGCTACCACCGCCACCACCACCTCTGGCACCGTTTATCTTCATCATCGACAGTGGCTGCTGCTGCCGTCATTGATGTCTTTTTTCTTCCTCCCCACGCCAGCAAAACGCTAGTACCGTTTGTCCTCTTTCTTTTCTAATGATCTTCTGTTCTTGCGCCATTTTCCCCCTTGCATTTTTTGTGTTCCAACGTGTCCAATTTGTGTTCCCGATTTTGGTGTCTTTCTCTCTGTCTGTCTGTCATCAATGTATTCTGTTGTTCATTTGTTATGAGACAATTAGAGGTGCTGCTGCTGCTTCTGCTGCTGCTGATGCTGATGATAATGTTAAGGTAAAGTTAAGATAACTTGATAGAAGAAACTGAATCAACACTTGATTTAAGCTTGACGATGAACACATTTTCAAGTTTGAAGGGCCATAGTTTAAAATGAAGTCAAATTGTCAAAAAACATGAGACATTTCTGAGTTAGATGCTCTAAACAAAAGAACTCACAGTTAATTCTTGATGGCCAGTTGTACGCAAAGAATAGACAAAACACTGCTTTAATTGCTGCTGTTGCTGCTGCTCAAGTGGCAATCATTCATAAAGTGGCCCCTTTCTCATAATTTACCCTCAGCACTCGCCTCACTGGACGACCAAAGAGACACAGCTCCAGCTTAAGTTTGTCGCCGTCTCATTAGAGCAGCAGCATCAGTCCTTCCCTTTTGTTTCACTTCCCTGCGATGACTTATCGTCTGCTCATAAATTCTACACTCGACGGCGGCGGCGGCATCAGCTGCCGTCTAATCGATGAAAGTTAGAGCTGAATAATGCTTACCATATTTCAGCAGCAAAAGCAGCAGCAGCAATTATACTGCCTTCTCATTAGAGTTAGTTAGATTCTCACAGAAGATTCTCTCAAAGCGGTCATCAAGCTCTCGATGCTTGCGATGATGATGAAGGCAAAAGTTTGCCGTCAGAAGAAGAGAAAGATTCCTTTGATTTCACCCTTGGTGATGGGCATTTAGGGCATCACACTACCACTTGAACGTCATTTGTCATGTGTCGCTCAGAGCGGATGTGCTCAGCAGCACTTAATGGCCTTTGTTTGTACTGTTTGTGTCGAAAAGTATTGTGGTGAGTTGGGCAGAGTTGAGCTTTTTTTTCTTCTTCTGGTACTCACTGGTAATTTATTATCCTTTTGCACTTGTTTTTGTACCCCGAATAGAGAGAAGTTGGAACACTGCTTCCACTTCTTCTTCTACTACTCTGAACATCGACAACTTCGTAACTTGATCGTCATCACATCGATTTGACTTTGCAGTGATCCTCTTTTTCTTTTCTCCCCCTTTGAAAATGATGATGAACAACTTTGAGGCAGTGCTCATTCAATGCCCTGGTCCCAATATCCCTCTTTCCCGGTCTTCAATCTCTCCATTTATTATTCAATTTCAGCGTGTGTGTGTGTGAGTGTATGCACATGTGAATATGACAAGATGAATAGTAAGATGAAAAAGAAGAAGAAGTCAACAAAGAAATGAGCAAATGAAAAAGTGAAAGAGAGAGAGCAAGGGAAATAAAATAGGACAAAAGGCGCAGAGAAGAGCGCTTTGGGTGGTGATGTGGTGAGTGTGGGTGTTGTTTTTTGCTTTTTAAGATGTTTGGAACACTTCAAACGAAGAAGAAGAAGAAGAAGAAGACGAGTTCCGCAGTCACTGTAGTAGTAGTTGTAGGAGTTTGACCAGAGCTGATAAAGGTGCTGTACACACATTGCAATGCGGTGGTGGTGGTGGTGGTGAAGGAGTTCAAATATTTGAAGGCGACTCTATCTCCTCCAGACTTTCTCAAAGCTCTTGGCCGAGTGGATAGGCCATCGGTGTGATGCCTGCCGCCGAAGTGGAAGAAGCTAACGTTGGAACAGGCGGAGAAGGCGGTGGCGGTGCAGTGGGCAGGCTACGGAAGAGGAGGAAGAGGAGGAAAGAAAGTATCGGTAAGTAAAGCAGTCCAGAAAGGTTAGATGCCAAGCAATACTTGTGTGTTTATGTGAGTGATTGTGTCATTGTGTCTCGTTTACTCAAGTCAGGGGCGGCGGAGGAGGAGTTTAAGTAGTAAAAGATCATGTAATTATTTATAACCAAAAATAGAAAAGAGAGAAAGAGAAAGGAGGATAGTTTATCAAGCAAGCAATTGGAAAAAGGGTATCAAAAAGAGCTAATTATTCCTAAAGTTGTAATCGAAGACGTATAATAAGAATAAGAATCAGAATAACGATGTAAAGGAGAAAACTAAAAGCAAATGACGAGAATAGCAGAATAGCGAAAGGATGAGGGGATGCTGACGGGACAAGTGACAAAATGGCGTGTCTTTCTGTCTGTCTGTGTTCTTGTTTACGTGTAATTCTCTTGCTGTAGTGTGTAAAGATGTGTGTAAAGAGGTGGTGGTGGTGGTAATGGTGGTTTTGTCACGGTTATAAGGCAACAGAGGAGAAGTAGGAGAATATGAGAGGACCACAATAAAAATGTAGGCGCACATTTTTATAAGAAAACAAGTCTTTGCGGATTGCTTTGCTGGAGTGGCTTAGCGGCACTGGCTGGCTGGCTGCTGGCGTCTCGATCTCGTGAATAAGAGTTTGAATTGAATTAGGAGCTTGTGAGTTGTGTGGTGTGTGTGTGAGGTGAAAAAGAGAAAGAGAGAAACAGACAGAGAGAGAGGAGAAGGAAGACTTGTGTCAATCTAATGCTGACACACTGGGCTCACTTTGTATAGACTTTGCCACTGTCTTCTTTGCCTTGGTAACGAGTCTTGCCATGGGTCCATGGCAGGTAGCGGTATTTGATCATGTGCTGTGCAGAGGCAGAGGAAGAGAAAATGGAAATGGAAAACGGTGTCAGTTTGTGGTAGGTTTGCAGACCGAATCAAGTAAAAAGGAAGCTTACTCTAATCTGCCGTTTCATTGTGATGAGAAACAAGGTGATAAAGTAGAGCAGGAGAATCGGCCAGAAGACGGGAATATTGCAGAACTCAAAGAAGGTGCACACCACTGCGATCAGGGTGGCTTTAGTGGATGAGTGCCTAGGTGGGTGACAAAATAGAGAGATGAATACTGACGAATTCAGCAGCGGTGATGAGTCATTACCAGAATTTAAACTCCGGCAGGCGGCGAATGAAGGGACGAAATTCCTCGTTATTCGCCGTCGGTAAAGAGGGGCCGTCCTCGTCTGTAAAGTAGATAAAAAAGTTCTAGATGTGGACAGAAGCCGCAGGACACACGCTGCCTACCTTCAAAATCATATATGGCTGGATCAATCTTCGGCGTGAGAAAGGCAATGAGCATATTTAAATAGTAGATGCCGAGGGCGTAGGCGACAATGTACCATCCCTAATAGTTGAGAAACAAAAACAAAATATTAGTAAAGTGAACAATAACAACAAACCAAAAGATCCTACCTGATAGTATAAGACTCGAAAGAGAAAGAAGAGCAGCATCAACGACGTGGCAACCTGGAGGTGAAAGCAAAAGTGGAATGTAAACAACACTAAGTGTTTTTCTGGTGATTCTCACTTACCCATCGGTACGTGACGTGAGGAGTCCACAGATCGAGGAAGCCTTGATATCTCTGCAAAGGATAAACAGTGAGAAACGGTGAGAGCCAGTCATCTTCTTCATCCCAGGCAAACACCTACCCTTCCCAGCATCACAAAAAACCGCCCTGCAGGCGACGAGGACGAGGTGTTGTCAAAGTCATCGAAGCTGTTCATGGTGGCTGAGGTTGTTTGCTGGTGGTGCTGGTGATGTTGATCTGCTTCGATCTGAGGTGGTGGTGAGTGAGTGGAGGTGAGATTACACAAGTGGTGGTAGTGGACACAAATAGTTCAGCTTCGACACACAGAGTGTTGACTGCACAATCACCGTGTTTGATTGCGGCGGTGATTGGGGAGCAAGTGAAGTGAAGTGGAGCAAAGAGAAGGTGAATTGGTGGTGGTCCAAGTAGTGGGAAAAGGTAACGATTGACAAGAAGAGTGAGAGAAGCAGAACAGTAGAACGGCGGTGGCCGAGACAGCCGCGGCACAGCAGTGACGTATGCTTAGGAGTAGAGCAAAAGCATTGCCTGGCGCAACATCGATCGACTCGGCGGCGGCGGTGGCAACAGACGGAGCAGACGATCTCACCAGAGACAGCTCCCCCGCTTATCTCCTCTCCTCTCTTTGCACTGACGCAACTGATGATTCAGGAGGTGGTCGTGGTGGTCGTGGTAGTGGCGGCGG